TGGGGGGGGGGGGGTGTACTCATAGTCGTGCATGTCGTAGTCGTTAGACCATTGACCTCGCATCCCTACAAAGCCGGGACGGAGTACGCCGGGTTCTCACCGGACCAGGCTCTCACATCACCAAGCGCGAAGCGCCGTGAGGTGTTCGGCGAGTCGCATGAAGGATGCGCTGCATCCTGCTAAGGGTGTTCGGCATCTTGTGCTTACTTCCTTGCGTACGGATGACAGCTGCGAATGACTTAATTTATTTTCTGGTGCTTTCACTTCCAGAGACAGTTGTAAGCTCTGTAACTGCCTCGATGATGCTTGACCAATTTAACACAACGTGCGATTATCCCCTTTGCGCGGAGTGAGGGTTCTCGACCCCGCACATCATAATCTACTCGATCACCATTCATGGTTACCGCAGAAAAAAAAAAAAGGCAAAAAAACCCCGGCAACCTGGTTGCCGAGCTCACGAAGTGAATCGGCTTATTTTACAACATCGCTGCCAAGCGACGAAAACCCAACCCCGATGGCAAACACCGGGGGGGGGCGCAGCAAAGGGGGGTAAAAACTTGCGCTGGCAACAGTAACGCCGCCACGGAGACTAAAAAAAAGCAGGAGCACCAGTCTTCTTTCCCACGGCTGAGGTGAAAAATAGGTGAAAAATCTGACGCTCCCTTGCTGCCGTGTGTGTCCCCCGCGCCTTCTGATCAACTTTCTGATGAGACGATTGTTTGGAGAAAGGCCTAACCTGCTCGCAGAAGGCCTCGCTGATGAGGGATGCCACCCTCGGAAGGCTGACCCCCATCGCGCGCATGCCTTCCACGTCCGTCGCTCGCAACCCCTGTCGGGGTTTTGCAGTACCGTGCCAAATGCGCGGGCAGTGCGGTGGGGGGAGGAGGGTCGACCAAAAAGGGTCAATGCTCTGCTGATTTAAGTCGGATATTTTGGCGCCCGCGGTGATTCTCTGGTCAGATAGAGGTCATTGCCCTTTGTTTCTCGTTGTACCTCCAACATGTACTGAGTCCATATGTACATACATACGTCGAAGCCCACATCTCTCACTTGGTTCTCCCCTCATGCCCCCCCCCCACCCCCTATTGTTTTTGCCACACCCTGTCCGTGTCTGTAGCCGTCTCAGCACGACCAGCGCAAACATGCGTCATCGGCTGTAGTCGCGCACGCGGAAGCAGTATATATCCACAGATAGAATGATCAGCGCCGCACGGTCAGCTAAAACTTGTCGCGCTGCTCACAAGACTTGTGTTATCTACATTTTCGCGCTGCTCACCGGCTCGAACTTCATGGTGAGCACCCTCTCAGCGGTCTGCTCGCGCACGACGGGGGGCACGCAGATGTCACTCCGCCCTTCAAACATCGCCGCGCACCTGTGATGAAGAGCCCAGGAGCCACACTACACATTCGGTCGGTTGGTCAAAAAACGCAAAGAAAAAGAAATACTACGAAGTCACATTGAACACCAAAGGCCGTGCGACGCGAGGAGATTTCCGCCGCCCCTTTCCCTCTTAACTCTTTCTTATTATTATAACCTCGCCACAATATTTCCACCGGATTGTCTTGTACATTTGCTACCCCTTCCTCCCGTAAACCTGCCCCCTCACCGTCCCACTACCCCCAGACTTGCCTCCTGCCCCCCATTCAATCTCGACGGGGACGACGACGCATAGTCGACAGCCAATCAAGTGCCTCCAGGAGAGCAAAAACACTTGAGACCTCCCCCCCCCCCGCGTCAATGGTCCAACAGCTAATGCATGCAAAACACGAGTACCCCCCCCCTCCCCCCGCTTCTTGCTTGTCTGTCCCCTCTACCCGACCCGACTGTACCTGCGGCTGTTGCTGGCCTCGTGAAGGAAGTCGAGTTCTCGGGGAAGGTTCCTCTCCACCTCGTCGGCGAGCCACTTGTACGAGAACTTGGGGAACAGCCTGTCCACGGCCGCGACCACCAGGCACACGGCGTCCACGTCGCCCTTCGACGTCTCCCGGAGGCCTCGGTGCTGAACCTGCGTTGGTGGTTTGTTGCGGATAAGCAGGTAGAAATCCCCCCTCCCCAAGCGGTAGAGCGCGCGCGCGGGGGCGGCGGCGGGGTCTTCCGGGTGTACTAATGCGCAATGATGGGCCCGATATAGCGCCAGTACCCGGTATAGTGCCCGTCAAAGTAGTCTCCGGGCACGAGTATCCACTCCAATACTATGGTACATAAAGACTTATCCACTATGCTACTCAGTCAGCGTTGACTGAGTAGGCTGACTGAGTAGCATGGTGGATAAGTCTTTTATCTAACATACTAAACCCTATAAAATCCTGTTCTGAACAGTGTCGGTGTCCGGTAGAGTGCCGGTCATACCATAAGGCACATGCCGGTACTACATCGGGCCCAGCCCTGGTGTATGCGGCCGAAAATTTTTCCAAGTCTTTGCTTCATAATTCCATCGGCGGCATCGTGTCTACTAAGAAAAACGCTTGTCGACACAAACATTAGTCTTAAGAGACCACTACATCTTCAGCCTCTTTGGGAAAATCGACCCCCGTCCCTCCTCCCCGCCCCCCGGTCCCAGCCCCTTTGCCCCGCTCTCTCTCCCCCGATTTGGCCAAACTAAGCACGCGAAAGCGGTACCCCCAACCTCCCACCCCTCCTTTCTCGCGCCTCAAACGGGGACCTTTTCGCCCTCCCGTGCGGCGCACCGTTACAGAGAAACAGGCACGTGGGGGTAGGTGTCTCTACTACGAGTGGGAACGGCTGTCCGTCTCGTATGAGATGCGTGATCAATGGCATAACCGCTAAGGCGTGAGTACCCCCCCCCCACCCACCCCGCACCGCGCACCTTCACAGCTAACTGCTCTCCGTTCCAGCCCTCTGCGCGGTGGACCTGCGCCAGCGATGCCGACGCTATCGCCTTCGGGTCAAAGGTCCGCCAGAGAGTCTCGGGGTACTCGCCCAGCTCCTCTCGGATAACCTCTCGCACGTCTTCAATGGGGGTTTGAGGCGCCTGCCTCCGCGAGAGAGGGCGGCGGGAAGGAACAGGAAGCAGGGGACGGTTGAGGGCGCCAGGACAAAGGCCAACGAAAAGTTAAAGCAATTAGCAAGATCATGATGATGGTGCTGATGGTGTGGATCACCCATGTCCATCGAAATCACATGTGTGTGCGCAGTAATTTGACGCGCACACGCATGTCGGCGGAGTCCAATACGAGAAGAAAAAAAAAGCGCGTGATACGGAACCGTCTACCCAACGAACCGGGAAAACGAGGGCGAACCAACACCGCCGCCACCATCGATGATTCGCTTTCCGAATGACCACACTACCAAAACGCACTAAGTCCATGGCCAACTGCTCCCGCCCCCGCGCCCCCAACATCTACCTTTCCCTGGCGAAAGACGAATGCAGCAACCTCACCCCTTCCCCGGACAAGAGCACCGGAATGCTAGGTGTGTCTCTGGCAGGTAGGCGTGTATGAACGGTAATCTCTCCCGCAGTGACTGTGCGAGGTTAGTGGTCGAACGATGAAGGCAAGCACCCACGGAGCCCCTCTCCCACCCCCCGGAGCTCACCTGGTCTAACATACACCTCAAAACATCTATGAACTCGGGCGGCAGGACGAAGTCGAGCTGGCTCAGGTGCTGCCCCAGCTTCACGTAAACGCCTCCGTTGACGCTGCACAGGTCGCGGAGGCGCTCCGCCGACCGCCGGTGCAGGTCAGACATGGGGGCGCGGAGCCCCGCCGCCTCCGCATCGGCGATCTTCTTCGCCGCCACGGTCACCTTGGAGTGCCACTCCTTGCTGCGCGCGCGGGCCAACGCTCGCTGCTGTTGCCGTTTTCGTTAGTTTGGTATGCATGCCGTTGTTTGTTGCTCGTCGGGTGGTGCACATCGTCGCCGTGGCCGTTTAACGATGATTAGTGTCGTTGTTTGTCTCACTGTTGGTATGTCCATGTCGTCGTCGTTGTCGTTTTATGTGGGAACGTTGCTTGTTTTTCATTGTGGGTGCGTACATATCGCCGTCGTTGCCTTTTTAGACGATTGCCTACTTGCTTGGTTGTTGTGGATTCGGTCGCCGGCCCGATCGTAATCGTTGGGTGGCGATGGTGTTGTTGGTATGGCCGGCGAGGCACTGGGGTGAGGGGCACATGCTGATCATGGACAGATCGTCACGCTCGAGAGGGAGAGAAGCGTTCGGGACGTGAGCTACGGGTGCAGAGCACCAAGGCCCTTTTCTTCCCACCTTCCACCCCTTTGAGGTGGCAGGAGGGACACACGAACGGGCGATCCGACAAGCAAGGTGATCTACACCAACTCGAACTCGCGTCCTGGTATGTACACACCGGACACACTCGAAAAAATACACCGAGCAAGGCAACACTTGTTCTCTGTCTTTTCCATCGGCTAAACAGCAGCGGTGGCGACTTGTGCTTCTTCCACATACACGGGACAAAAACCAAGGCCCCCCTGAACACTCGACCGTTTCGCCCTTCCGCTTCTCTTGCACTCGTACCTGCGGGTCCGGCAGCGTTTCCGCTTCGATGCCGCACCTCCTCTGCTGCTCCTGCAAGGACAAGAAACAAAGGAAAGCGTCGTCTCATGCAACTCACAGGAAATAAGAAATAACAACCGCTGCAAAACCACCGCAAGCAGCTAGGAGAACAAACAACGGATGATGCATGATAATTAAGTTAACTTAGCTAACATTTCCCCAAAAAAATCAAGCAATCGACAAGCGAAAGTCCCACCGCCACTACTGGCAGCGGGCCAAATGCCAGATATCCGATGAGTGATCGCGGAATTTGCTCCCACCTGAGCTTGCCACATTTCGTCCGCCAATGCCTCGTACTCTCCCATGGCCGTGTTCTCCTCGCCGAAGCTAGTAGCTCTCTGGAACGCCTTCTACCAGCCACCGCCCCAAAGCGCGACAAACGAGAGAAAACAGGGGTGGGCGAGTGCGCGACCTTTGGCGAGATGCCGTATACGCCCCGTCCGCATTAAACCCCGCGTGAACGCGCATGGCATCTGTTATTCAAGTGAAGAGTAGATTCTGCAACACAAAGGCGCCGTTCTCCTCGTCTCTGTCACGCATTGACTCCTTTCCCCTCTCTCGCTTTGGCGGTCGCTGCCTTTCCTTCGCCCGCGTGCAAGACTCTGCTACACCTCAAACCGCACGAAACCGACCTTGGAAACATCGAAAGCCTTGTAGTCGGCGGAGATAAGTACGGCGGTCCAGACCAACCGAGCCGCCCTGACCGCAGCTTCAGCCCTCGCCCTCGCCTTCGCCACCACCACCGTTGCACCGCCGTCCTCGATGTTGTTCTTGATCCGAGCCGTTAGGTCTGTTGCTGGCGGCCCGACCGCCGCGGCGGCTGCAGCCGAGCCGTCGGCAAGAACCGGCGCGCCCCCTGACAAGAGATGGCGATCCCCTATGCCGTTGCTGCAGTTGTTGTTGTTGTTGTTGTTGTTGTTGTTGTTGTTGTTGTTGTTGTTGTTATCGTTGTTGTTGTTCCAGGTGCAACAGGCGAGCAGACCCGTGGCCGGCCCGGTCAGTAGCAGGAAGGGGTCCCGCCTTGAGGAGCCTTCGATCTGCTTGTTGTTGGGGGATACATATTGTTGACGACCGCGCAAGACACATGAAGGTTGGCTGGTACAATAGAGGAAGCATTTAAGAACTGCAATCAGTCGTCGATTGGATACAAATAGAAACAACCCCACCAGCACGTGCGCACCCGCCCAGAAGCGAAGACGGCCACAGATGAGGTATCATCCCACCGCCGCGCACCTACCGTGAGCTCGTCGAGGCAGCAGAGAATTTCGCGTGAAGCTGCTAAGAACTCGCCCTGATTAAAATCGTATGCACGCCATCGTGAAACCCTGGCAGCAACAGCAGTAATAGTAGCCGTGTGCTTTGTTGCGTACGCAGCCGAGGAGTAGGGAGCGAAGAGGTCCAAACGGAACAACAACTAATGGGCAAGCCACAGCGTATGTTCGTGCGATTGCTGTGTATTCTACCACCCCGAAGGTGTGCGAGCACCTTTCGCGGATAATTTAGCGTTGCCAAACGTTTGTTCCTGCAATGACGTGGAACACGTTCAAAACTCTCGAGCAGCGGTTCAGTACTAGTCGCAACCGCTACAGCGTGTTGGGCTGCTACGACTGTTCAGCACAACGCACCATCGCCATGCATACCTTTGCATCGCCGACCCTGCCGCTCTCTCGCTGACTCAACCAAGCCTGTGTCGACCGGGCTCTCCTCAGCGTGGGCAGCAACGTACGCCTCCCTGCCACGGTTGCCGTCAACAACAATGCCCGGCTCATCTGTACTAGCTCACTGTAAAACTCTGAGCCAGGAAGAAAGGCACACTGTCCTGATTCTATGCCGAACCACCGGCGTGGATGCTGTCAACGTAACAGCTGCTGTGCTGGCGGCTGCATAGACGGCCGTGGCAGAAGAATGTCCACGGAGCAGCAGTCAGCACGGGCAGAATGCGGTGCAATTAGCCAAAGGCATGGTACCCACAGATTTTCTAGCATGATTTTGCGTGGACCCTCTCGAGCTGTTTACGCGTGTGCGCGCGCAAACTCTCTCGTCGCTCTTGCCCTGTACTCTTTCGAACCAACCAGCCACAGCCATGAAAGTAGCCTCAATAATTGCCCTTGTGGCGGGTATCGCCCCGTCTGACTCCTTCCTGGCCCCACAGGCCGCTCTTCGGGCCTCATCGTTCGCGAGCAGGTATGCATGATCGTGGGGTCATTTTTGCATTTTTGCCATCTCTCTCTGCGGTTGGCCCGGTCCCTTTTGGATGCTCACGCAACAAGCATTGTCTCATGAAGGCCGACACCACGAGAGAGGCTAAAAGCGTTGGTGCATTGCCTTGCGCTGTAGCGAAGTCGTAGCGGCCCAACTGTATTGCGGGATTGCGCGAACAGCTGAATGCATGGACCTGGTTGACTGCAGTTCTGAATGTTGCGTACATTCCACAACAGGGTGCCGACGGCTGTCTCGGAAGCTGCTGGCTCGCCTGCAGCTCCTACCCGAACGGCCGTGAGCATGATGAGCAAGAGCGTCGACCTGACGGGCAAGGTGAGCCCACGGTTTTGTGTCACTGACCTCCTACGTTTGAGCTCGTCTTTATTGCATTTGCGCAAGGGCTCGGTGTTACCTGCTGCAACATGTGGTACGTCCCCCGTAGGTTGGATCTTCGATGAGACAACTCCTTGTTATGCACATAACACGGAGTCGCAGCAGTCTTCATGTCAAAACACCGTTACTGCTGTGTGCTGGTACATGCGTAAATATTGGCGGCCGAACAGAGTGGGTGGCGCTAAAACACGCGACAGATGCTTGTTTTTCCCATCCCTTTCTAGGCTTCATGACTGTTTTTTACCACATGTAGTGATCAAACCTCTTGCCCTTTCAAGCACTTGTGGTAGCAGCACCGCAGAAGTCGAGCAGCAGAAGATCTCCGCGCCACCGAACAGCGCATGTTTCCCGCAAGCCCCCAAGGGCAAGTTGCAGTTGGACATGTGTCTTCCATCGAAGACAATTCTTAGAACACGAAACGCATCGATACAGCAGTAGTAACCATCATTCTGGATCTGATTACTGTAAAGGAAACAGAGCTGTATGCTTCTGCTGGAGGGACGGTAGAAATGCAGCGTTTCCCCTCGGTACATTAACGCGATGAATTTTTCATTGCTACTTTCATTGCTGTAAGGGCATTAATTGTCCGGGATTCTTCCCCGTGGATAGAGATGACTTCGCTCTGTTTATGTAAGAAAAAAGGCTCAGATGTGGATCCCCACTATGCTCGATGGTGCGACGAAATTGAGGTTCGACCCGAATGTGCCGTTTCTTATCGGCGGGCTACATGGACTGCTCTCTGTGTGTGCATAACTTGACCGCATCTCTATGATACATACAATTGTATACCCTGTGGACTCACCGCTTTGTTGACGAGCGCCTTTCTACTCCTGTTCGTACGTTTTGTGCAATACCCGCCTCGCTCACAACTGGGCGGTCACCCCCTGGCGCTGGTTCCCCGCTCCACACTCGCCTCCCCGTGTGAAAACCGTAGACAATGGCGCCAGCACTGCTCATCCTACATCCGCGTCAAGCGATTTGTTTTCCCGCCACAGCCTCTTTCACCGTTGCCCCCCCCCCCCCCAGGTAGCGTTTGTGGCTGGAGTGGCGGACTCGTCCGGGTACGGGTGGGCCATCTGCAAGGCCCTGGCAGAGGCGGGCGCGACGGTGACGGTGGGCACGTGGCCGCCGGTGCTGGGCATCTTCGAGAAGTCGCTCAAGAGGGGGACCTTCGACGAGGACATGAAGCTCGAGGACGGGTCCAAGTTCGAAAACGCGAAAGGGCCTTGGCTGTCCTGTTCGGAAGTCACGGCGTGGGTTTTTTTTTTTTCCTTGAGTTGTGAGGGCGTTTGGGGAAGAAAGGGGGGTAAACACCATTTGCTTTTTGTTTTCTCTGTTGGGGGGTTGAATGTCTTCATGCGTCGACCGCGTGAAAAG